CAAAACTTCTTTTTTTTAACTCTGGAATTATATTAATGGACGTCACATAAGAAAAAAGAACTTTATCCACATTTATATCTAGTCACAATGTAGTTTATCAATTTTTTCAATGCTAAATAATGAAATAAATATTCTTCTTATTTAAATAAAGTGATTTCAATATGAAAATAAATTTTTTCTATCTTTGTACTTTTAATAAAATTATCATTTTGCATTTAAACTCTGTTTTTTTTCTGTTTTAACCAAATATATGGCATTACATAGTCTCACATACCAGCATGATCATAATATGAATGCCAAGCTTTTTTTAAATTAAATCAAGTTAGCCATCACATCTTTTTGTTAGTAACGTTTTACGAATCAATCGTTCTTATCACATTGAAATTTATATTATTTTTTCCACACATGAAAAATGTAATGGCTACTTTATGCCGTTTTGAAAGCCAATACATAAAACAAAAATATTAAACTAAAAGTATGAAAATTTAAAAACACAAATACGCGCTCTGTGTGCATGTAAGAGTATCATCGTATGGACATTAGAATTATTTAAAACAAATTTGGCGTCGTGACATTTACTTTGATCCTTCTTGGATAATGCTCATATTTCTTTCTATGTTGTCAATGGCTGTTTCTGTATGATGATCGCATAACGTAAAATGGCTTGATATGCCAGTGATATTTAAATAGTTTGTATGATGGACTAGCTTCAGTTATATGACTTGAATAAGAATGCATCTTTGACAAGTCATCGTATGTTTAGGCATACTGCAGGAAGATCATAATACGGATATTAACTTTTTCAACATATCCTTTTGTGATTTTGCTAATAAAAAAAATATCTCTTAGCACTTTTCTCCTACCTTACATAAAGATCGATTTGAAATGTCAAATCATGTTCTGAAATAGTTAAAAAAATATATAAAAAACTACATTATAACGTTCAGCATGACAAATGTATAAGACAAACTCTTTTCGAGAGAAAGAAGTATTCTTGTAGAATATAAAATATATTTTACTTACAAATAAACTAACGGTGAGATACACTGATTTTTTAAATTGTTAGACATTATTATCGATATTTATGCATGTGAAAAGAGATAGTTACGATTCACTGAGTTCACGAATCGTTATATATCCGTAAGATCAATCTACAGCATAAACGTTACAAATTAAGATTGTTACTGGATTTCCTTGACATTCTAGAAATCAGTGCCGCGTCGCGTGATCATAAGTAATGTCAACGGTTCCATTTCTTTTTCAAAACGACAAGACATGATACAAAACATGTTTCGCGAAGTTTCTCATGGAAGACTTCCAGGTTTTGTTTACATCAGGAGGATCCGTATATAATAAAAATATGTGTTGTCTTAAAGAAGATGATGCAGAAAAGATTCAGCAGTTGATCGATAAATCCGTATTTTGCATACTTGTGAATCAAATAGTGATATTTCCACGAAGAAACTTGAAACATTCTTTGTAGTTGATGTATCCTACTATCAGGTTTCTGATGAGAGAATTGTGATTCCTTAAGCTTCAGTTGATGCTATAAGGGAACTTTTAGGCGTGTACGCTGTCGCATTCGGATCCAAATTTGACACGGTACACCCCGGACAGGGACTTTCATTCGAACGTATTTTTGTTCCTGCTACTCTCACTTCACTATTTAAACGAAGCTTGGACGTCGCACAGGTTGGCGCTGGACCAAATGTATCTTGTGGCATCACAGCTAAATCTTGCGCTATTTTTGTTTTCAACATTTCGATTTCTTTCTCTTGAGATCTGATTAAGCCTGATTTAACAGAAAATATGATATATTGTTGCTAATGCAACGATCATATGTAATATATGTATAATATATGTGTTTCTATTATTTTTAATAAATATTTATCCGCTCTTCAATCATAGATTACAAATATTAAGAAAATAGAAATATACGAAAAAAAATATATGAAAAATGTATGAAACAACACAAATGAAACATAGTTTCAATAACTTACTTTCTCGAATTTCTAATTGCCGCTTAACTTCGCCGAGAGCCGAAAACAGATCAAGTTTTATACGCGTTTCTGCGCTCAAGCTGTTTTCCAAATGTGCGTTTTTATCTTGCAGCGCATTGAGTGCAGGGAGTAGAATTTCACACTCTCTGTGGTTCTCTTTACAACGCGCGGCATCATTTTCCAATACATTACATCTGAATCAACGTATAATATACGATATTTGCATTCCGTTTATTTTACATTGTGCCATTTATAATCTAAAATAATTTTATACTTTCATGCTAACAAATTTATATTCTTACCTTTCTTCCTTCAATTTGAGTTCTCGGCGCAAATTTTTAAGGTCCTGTTCCATTTGAGATCTTCGATTTTTACACGCGTCAGTGCATTCTTGCCTGATAAGCGGAGGTGGTGGTGGTGGAATTGCAGAGCGCGCTTCTTCGGCAGCTCGTCGTGCCCTTCGTTCGGAGAGCAAGGATGCTTCGCATATGTTACGTTGCTTTCGCTCTTCTGCAATTCGCTTTTCCAACGATGACATTGTTTGCTTATCCAATTGACGCGCCGTCACTAGACCATGTAATCTATAATATTAAAATTTACATTACAGAATTTATCTTATTTTATTATTATAAAAATATTTTATTATTATAAAAATATTTTATTATTATATTATAAAAAATCAAAATAAAAATTTTCTGTCTCCCTT